TATCCAACTATGTGTAATATAAACTATTAATATAAAATTCTTCTAATTGGTCTTCTTTCTTAGTTGGAGTACTTGTCTCTCTATGGTCCCGTTTGATACCAGAATAACCATCATTCCTATGCTGCAGGTAACATTATCTAGGTATCTCTAGAGTAAGGCATGGTCTCCTTTCAGGGACTGGATTCTAAGTGTGTGTGTAGTATCAGTTCCTCATTTCCTCTGTGCTAGTGTGAAAACTGGCTCATACCTATGTATAAGGATTGACATGCATTTCTAAAATCTATGAAGGATGCTCAAAGATCTAGAGGTTTCTGGGAAGACCTAGTGGGAAGGCATGAAAGATAAATTGGTAATCCTACCTAATAGTAGAGCAATATGCAAATTAACCACCACTCTGCTACATCCACAAGCCATGCCCACCAGCCAATCAAAGTGAGTATGCAAATGAACCCGACAAAGATGGAAGTTAATTTGCAGACACAGAGGGAGGGAGGAGTGAAGGCTGAAGACAACATAGAAGGAAGAGGGAGGGAAAGTGGAAAGCAAGGCAGATGTGGCTGTTGGAGGGAAAGCACTGGCAGCGAGTGTGGGGTGCTGCAAGTGCACTGCGGCCATGGAGGTAGTGGCAGCAGGGGCAGCAGGGGCAGTGGGCACAGTGGGTTGGGACATGCAGCGGAGGCGGTGGCGTGGCCTCAGAGGCATAGGCATCGGTGGATGGGCGGGTCCGGTGTGCGGAGCAAGGTGTGCAGCTATGGTGGCAGTGGGCGTGGTCGCGGAGGTGTTGGCTGTGGTGGCCTCGGGCGCTGTGCAGCAGGCAGGATGGGTGGGGTGCGCCCAGACCATCCCACCCCATCCCTCCCTGCCCGCTGCAGTGTTAAAGGGGAGGGAATCCCGCCAGAAGTCTTGCAGGAACATTCCTTTAACAGGTCACTAGTATTAATAATATTACGAGACGAAGACAATGTTTTAAGACAGCACATGACAAATTCCATATGTTAACTAAACCCAATAACTTCCAAGAATCATATTAAGGAGAGGTCACTGATTATGGTGAGTGGAGAATGTGAGATATCAGCTTGGAACTATAAGATGGATAGAATCTGGACTAAGGGGAAGTAAAAGGAAGCAAAGTTACAGATCCCAGAAAGCACAAAGTTTATATAGGGTACAGCAGTACAGTAGTCTGCCTGTATTCTTATTGGCAAGTGTGTAAAACAGAAATAGCAGTAGGTCAGAATAAAATATCCATAATTTTAGCACCAAGACGATGTAGCTGAAAAGGAAAACAGAATATCCAACTTTTATATATTCAGATGAAAATATATAAGATCAATCAAGGTATCAAATATATCTTGATATACATTTTACCATTAATTTTTAGAATTTATTCTAAGTCACTAGATAGGGGAGCAACCATGTAGCATACTTTAATGATTTATTTTAAAAATCAGTAGTGGTTTGGGATTTTAATCCTGGCTCCAACACATTATTAACTAAAAATTTGTTGTGAAGGTCCTACTCTACAAATATTCATTATGAAGGCTCTGTTCTAGGCTCTGGGGATGGGGCAGTCAGCAAAACAGATTAAGTGCCTGCTCTCATGAAACTAAGTTTTGATCTACAGTTTCCTCATCTGCCAAAATTAAATCAATATTAGTGATCCTATTAAAAGAGAAAAGATATTTTAATATAATATAATATATTTATTATTTTTTCTATATTATATATATTACATATAAATTGTTTATAGACATTTAATAGTGTCTATTAAGTGATAACTGGTTAAAAGTCTACATAATAATCACATGTATTACTATATCATATAATGATTTCATTATAATTGGTTTAGTTTTCATATTTCAGATACATATTTTGTTTTCAACCAGTTAGAACACTTTGGTAAAAAAGAAAAGGATCAAGAATGTATAGTCCTCCCCTCCCTCCTTCTCTCTCTCTCTCTCTCTCTCTCTCTCTCTCTCTCTGTCTCTCTCTCTCTCTCTCTCTCTCTCTCTCTCTCTCTCTCTCTCTCTCTCTCTCTCTCTCTCTCTCTCGCCAAGCGCAATGGCGGCGGCCGCGGCTGAGCAGCAACAGTTCTACCTGCTCCTGGGAAACCTGCTCAGCCCCGACAATGTGGTCCGGAAACAGGCAGAGGAAACCTATGAGAATATCCCAGGCCAGTCAAAGATCACATTCCTCTTACAGGCCATCAGAAATACTACAGCTGCAGAGGAGGCTAGACAAATGGCTGCTGTTCTCCTAAGACGTCTTTTGTCCTCTGCATTTGATGAAGTCTACCCAACTCTTCCTTCTGATGTCCAGACAGCCATCAAGAGTGAACTACTAATGATTATTCAAATGGAAACACAGTCTAGCATGAGAAAGAAAATTTGTGATATTGCTGCAGAGTTGGCCAGAAATTTAATAGGCCTGTGTGGTTCAGTGGTTGAGCATCGACCTATGGACCAGGAAGTTATCATTCAATGCCAGGTCTGGGCACATGCCTGGGTTTTAGGAGACAGTGGATCAATGATTCTCATTATTGATGTTTCTGTTTCTCCCTCTCCCTTTCAAAAATCAATTTAAAAATATTTGGGGGAAAAAAAAAGAATGTATAGTCCTGTTTTCAAAACTTAGTTCTACCGTTTTATCAGTTATGTGATCCTAGATAAAAATGGGCCATCTGCGCATTAGTTTCCTTAACTATTAAAGAAGGATAAAATTATTTGATCCACCTATCTCATAGAGTTGTTTCAAAGAATAAATGATCAATTCCAATTGTAAATGTTTATAAATAAGTAAAAATTAATTTATCCCCATCACATGCCATACTTTGTGTATGAAAATTGCAAACCGTTGTTATTTGGAGCTTTGTAGATAGAAGAAGAGTACTTACTAGAAAAACTTACTACAAAAGTGGATCAAATTACCCAAGAATGAAAGCCTATATACAAAATGAAGCATTCTTCTCATTCCTACTATAGAATCATGCCTTACTATATAGAAGTATGTTTGAAGCTATCAGCTTAACTCTGTTATTTTACACAATTCTAGGAGATATTAAGAGAAAGGTATTTATTAAGAAAAATAACATTCTTCGTAACTAAGACGATCGAGTATAAAGCTGTGTCACTTATGTGAGTCTATTTCTGTCTTTTAGCCCTTTTAATGGAAACCTAGACCATTAAGTGAAATGGGAAAAGAAAGAAAGAGGCAAAAAGACATAATAAGGAAAGAAGTAAAAATGGCAGAAGTGTAAAAGAGATAAAAGAATTAAAGAAAGCGACAAAGGGAAAGAGAGCAAATCTTAACAATGAAGCAACATAAAAAGATATTTCCCCTTGGTGTAAGAAAAAAAAAATCGATGCTGGGATAAACTAAACAGATGTGAAAAACAGAATAAAGAAAATGCACCCATACAAGAGAACAAAGAAAAAAAATCAAAGCAATGGCGACAAGATAAAGACAAAATAGAAAAGAAGAGATAAAACCTACTAGACAGATGTCAGACATAGATGCTTAATCTGTACATATCATAGGCAAATAAAAAAAACTGTTTAAGAAGAAATAAAAAACAATACCCAAAATCACTTTGTGTGCATTTCACATAAGCAAGTGAATACTCATAATGATTTCTATATTTCAAAAACCTTATATAATTTGCATTTAGGATTTGGATACCAGATACGTTTTTTATAAAAGTATGCCTTCAGATAGTGGTTGATAGCCTGGATCATATAACAAAAAGCTGAGGACAACCCTTAGAGAAGGAGATATGACCGTGATGCAGTCACAGGAAGAAAGGCAGTAACATAACTGCATTAGGACAAGCAAACTTCTTACTGATTCCAAGTCTGACTGTTCCCCCATCCCAATAACATATTAATTAACAAGATGCTTTTCAGAAATGTGCATATTAAACTTTCGCTTGGCTCATTGTTTGATGTGCTTTGGGTATTCTTGGTCAAGAACACCTGTTTTGGGGCATTGAGAATTGATATGTGGCTTTTGCTACTAATTACATGTCATAACTTACTCAACAGACTGACATATAATCAAATGGCTTGAATACTTTGAGTACCATTCTCAAAAGTATAGTGATTATGCCTTGAACTAGAAGTATATTCAAGAAAGTAACTTTGAAAGCCATGTATTTCCCATGAAAGGTGGTATGAAACAGTTTATTAATGAGATTTTAAAATAAATGTAAAAATAGCTCAAGCTGAATAATCTCAAACTTTACTACTATCTTATTGTATAATTTATAAAATGTTAATTACCTATGTTTAAATGTTCTGACTTGTTCACTTTGGAAGAACCTATCAATTTACTATTTTACATACCCTGTAGCATTTTTTACATGCTTTACTATTAAATTATATTTCTAGAATCCACAAAAAGGGCTTTGAAAACTGCATGAGCCTGTTTCATATATATAATACACAGTGTATATCAAGCAGAATGTGTCAAAGTGCAAATAAAATTGTTTGTGCCCCCTGCAGAATTAGAACTCCTTGGGCAGTACTGCTGTAACGATTTCATGCTGCTAGCATTACAAAGTGCAAAGGTTCACGAGGCAAGAAAAAAGCAAATGACAGAGTTCCCTTATTACACTATCCCCAAATATTCTAGCTTAAATATTTATTAAGATATTAATTACTCTTCTCACCACTATCTGCCTACAGAAGTTAAGCTGAGACACAGTGGATGTGTGGCTGCCTGTAGAAAAACAACACGTTAAAACTATCACCACTCAAGATGAAGACTGATGTTTCGTGCAGTGCATTAACTGCTTTTGAGACTTACATAAACTATCACACTGATATAAGAATAATGTGTTTGTGATTTTGATTTAAAAAGTAGAATACATATCACCCATAGAAAATAAATGGTTAGAAATTAAGGAATTAACAGTTTCTTGCAAAAAATAAATAAAATGATTTATATGGAATAAAACACAAGGAAAATAATGAAGAAAAGTAATGATCTTACTTATTACTTACTCTGATATACAATTGCATCATTTCTTTTTCTCTTTGAGGGTTACGATATTTCTCATAGAATTCACGTCGTCTTTTTGCTTCTTTAGAGATTTTATCTTTTCTTTCCCGTTTTTCTGCTGGTTCATCTGAACTCTCAGAAGATGCCTGTACAGGTATCTTCGGCTTTTCTATTTCAATATAGTTTTCATTGGGATTCAAAACTATTACTCCATATCCTTCCTGTTTAGAAAAAAAAGATAGTTTAATTTAATCTTACAAACTATTTCAATCCATAAAAATTTCTTTACAATTCCATGTTATTTAATATGTTTGTATATTCATTAAAACATTTCTTCATAAAAGATTATAGTTTTAATTTTTCCAAAAGAAATGTGTATCAAATTGTTTGCCTGGGTTGTTTATGTAAATAACCATACATTATTATAAGAAGAAAATACACATTTTTTAACATAAAGATTATAAAGTTTAAAATTTGTAAAAGGCACTTTAGATCTTCTAGAACCCCCAAAATAATGGAAGTAAACTGTGAGTTAAAAGTACACTTTCAAACAACATTAATAGTTATAAAATATACTTTGAGAAATTAACCTCTTTGAAATTGAAGTTCAAATTCAAACTGTATTTTGTTGGATTTTTCTTTCCTTTACAATCTGTGATTCAGTAAGCATTTTTTGTTTTAATAGTAAAGAGGAATAAATATAATATTTATATATGTGTATTATATGTGTATTATCACAAACCTATAGTGTCTACCTGTGCACCTTGGATTTCCCTCCCTCTCTTCTTTCAGAAAGCCTCACAAATCATAAAACAAAATAAATTAATCTTAGTGTGATGTATGGCAGCAACACTTTAACTCTGAAGTTGCTTTTATTTTTTAACTACCATAAAAATCTCTTTTCATAAAGAACTAATGTAAGTAAACAAGTTTCAAAATTTAAAATACAGCTCATTGAACTATTAAGCCTTTCTAAACATTTTTAAAGCACATTTTCCTGTCTGACTTAATGCTAGCAAGGCAACACTTCTATGGTTATCATTAAGAAAACTTTGGTATTTATATTGTTATAACTCATGGAATATTCTATTGAGAAAAGAGAGAAGGGTAAACAATTACCATTGATAAACATGCACAACACATATTTTTGAAAGAATTATGTATCTTGTCTATTCAATTCTGTTCTGTGGGTGTCCTAATTTTGCCTTGCACAACCCTGTAAGGTCATACCTAAAACATGTATTATATTGTGATAAAAACATCAGAGATACAAAAGATAATGCTTAACAAATCATCATTACTAAAAAAAAAATACATTTCTAAGACTGTAGATTCTTCTACTTTGTTTGAAATTTCATTATTTTTGCCAAACTAATATAAAAGAAGATGATTTTAAAAAACTGATAGCAGTAATAATAGCATAGACTTAAATATCTTATTTTTAAATATGCTACATTGCTGCATGTACTTGGTTTATTTAACAGCAGATTTCAAAACCACGTACAAACTTCACTGGGATCCTTTCAACTCTACCCCCCTTCCTCAAGAGATAATATTGTCTAAAACCATGGTTTAAAGACTTTGAAGATCATTTAAGTTCTGATTTTAGTGACAGGACTGTTAATTAAGATATAGTTGTCTTAGGTATATGAAAACTATATAATGTGTACCAAATTGATTAACAATATCCCACATATTCTTCAATATATGCTTGAATAGAACTTTTAGATACATACCTCTTTCATGAAAGCCTTCTAAAATACTTTACAAGACTTTAAATTTAAACATTCTACATCAAAGCACAGAGAAGGCTTTCTTTCTTTCTTTCTTTCTTTTTTTTTTTTAAGTTTCTTAGCTGGTAAAACAAAGTTTTACCAACAAAGGATATTTTATTTGGTCCTGCTTTATTCTAATCTGTATAGCTATTCAAAAGTCTTGTAATTCATTGTGATCACTGTCAGGTAGACAGATTGTCACTTGGTGATTTTCTACAGTTGGACACACTTGACTAGTTATTAAAATCACATTTGAAGGAAGTTCCTACCCCTCTTCCTTGTGCCTCTTACAACTTTTCACGCCCTTCTCAAATTTCAGCTATAACTTCTCCTCCCACCAAAAGTAAGTTAAAGAACACTGTTGCACTCTGCTAAACAGGGTGAAATAGAGGCATTCAGTATACTGTCTCTGGTGCAGGGAACATAGTCAAAAAAGGTCACCATAGGCCAAAAAGAAAATTGCCTCCTTACTAGTTTCTGTACCGAGAGTAAGTGGTCTCCTGTCATGTTTCTTCCCTGCCTTCTCTGAGTGAAGTGAACTTTAAATACACACACACCCTCTCTCGCTCACTTACATATGAGTCAGAGTGATATACTATATTTTAATGATAATTTCAAAAATTTAGACATGATAACAAAGTGGGACTTAATTGGTAGAACATTAGTATCCTCTGCAAATTAATGAATTCTCAATAAAAACACTTCAGACAAAATTCCAAGTTACAGGAATTATAATTCTCACCCTATTTTATAAGTTAATCATTGGAAAGATTTTCTTAATTATCAGGTTTATCTGAATAGAACTTTATACTTGAATTTTTGTAAATCATGAATTGGAACATTATTGTGTCTATTTTATTCTAAATGGATTCTGAAATTTGATGTGTCCCATCTAAATAAGTATAAAAACAGACACACATAAATCATTGAAGTAGTATTTGTGTAAGTTATTGATTATGTAACTGAAAATTACATGACTCATTTGTCCAATTTTAAAAAGACACAATGTCAATTTTCACTGAGGCACCCAGAGATGAAAAATGATTCTATTTTAAAATCACCACTATATAAATCAATTAAAGAATTTTTTATTATTTTGATTTTAACCATGTTTCTCTTTGAACACCTGGATTACTTGGAAAATATTTTGCCATTTAGATATTTCATTCTGCCAATTTAATTAAGGGAACAAATATTCGGGAACATTTTCCACAGAAATGAAAGCTAATTTTAATAAATGTCTTTGTTGAATATTTAATTATCATTCCATAAAATCTAACATTTTTCAATTAAAAATTTTCTGATAAATTAATTAATGCAATATTCAAAAAGACCATTTATAACCATATTATAATGAGTAGGAAAAAGCTAAGTAACAAAATTAAGATAACTATCCATTTATGTGCTCTAATCACAGATATGCAATAAAATTTCATCTTTTTCTTCTCTCCATCACATACGAACACTGTCAAACAAATCCCTTTACATAAGAAAGCTACAAAGATTTTTGCCATGCCAACCTTAAGATATAGAAGTCAAAGAGTTAAAGCAAATAGTCAAAGCAGAAAACACCAGTATTTAAATTTACCCACTTAAGGTAAATAATATTAATTTATATCTTTTTAAAAATCAGAATACCAATTTAAAAATAAATTCTATTCCCAGTAACTCAATTAGTATACACAGAAATAAGAGAAAAAAAGATCCTATTTTGACCTTTAACAAATGCACTCATAAAGTTTTTCAAAAGTACTGTAAAAAATATGGCATCAATGCAATATCATAAAAGAACTTTGCATTTCCATTGAAACAAGGAGCGTTCTAAGTATGCTTACAACCTTAAACATTTTATATTTAAGAATACCTTTTATATTTAATTATTCCTTAAGCATCCTCAGTTGATCAAAAGATGAAAAGATAGGTCATTTCAAATATACATGGAGATTTATATTATCTATACAAGACAGAATGATCAAACTGATTATCTAACACTCTACAACTAAATAAATAAAACTTTTAGCATCTCATACTGATTTACCCAAATCAATTCCAATATCCAAATTTTCAACAGATAAAGCATACATGAAGTTGTAAAATAACTGTTACTTGATCAAGAAAGTAATAAAGAGGACAGATACTGGTAAAAGTAAGCTTTCTCTCTTTAATTTATCTCATTGCATTTTTTTATTCTTTTTTATAGCTATAACTGTAGCTTCATTTTCAGATCAGTGTTCATATGGTATAACTATACGATCTTAATCAGAAATCCTCTAAATTTTATAGGTAAATATAGCATTTTATTCAGCACAAGTACTTGCTGTGATTGAAACAAAATATACAGGCCTCCAGGCCTTCTTTACTTTGAAGTCTAGAGATGCACTTACTAATAAGTAATAGTTCATTTATCATTCAATCAACAATTGATGGCTTAGGTCAGAGAGGTCTAAAACAGAGAGCTGGTGCCAAACACAGAGAGGAACTCTTGCTAAAGAAATTAAACCAGAATAGAAATGTACTTATAAAGAATATTCTACACTAGATGTATTTCTTAAATGCCTGACCAAAAACAGAATGTACTTTTTACCCCAGAAGAGACCTTGCTAAAACTGAAGATTTAGCCAAGTTAATTTACCTAATAATTATCAATTATAAAGAAAATTAAAAACAGGAGCAAATTCTATATCTTTTCAACTCTTTTGTGATTGGCTAAATTAAAAAAAATCACCTGAAAGTACTGAGCTCTGCATATTAACCTTCCAACATTACAAGCCACATGTGACCAATGGGGTCAGGGACCAGAGTAGAATCCTTTGACCTATGGAACTATTTTGGTCTTCAGGCAATGCTCTGGAAGAGATCATTTTATACAAATTTATCTCTCATATTTTTCAAGTTCAGCATTCTATTTGCTTGGGTTGAAAGAGGATAGGTGTTGTTCCTCAAGGGAAATGAAATCCAAAGTGTTTATAAACTACATTTACCAATGGTTAAATGGACAAACCACTGTCCATTCATCTTTCCTGGAAGATGTATGCTGTGTTTATTCTCATCTTTTTCACAAGAAAGGTATGTACATATCACTGTTGCAACATCCTACATGCAACAGTGAAAAGAGGTCATGACAACCTATCAGAAGTCACTAGTGGAGCGTTAAAGTAAACATAGCTGTTGGAGCTGCAGCTCTGCTTGAAAAATGCCCCCTCCATTATTTCAGCAATTTTCTCAAGACGTGACCTGGGACTGAAATGCCTGAAATGTCACTTGACTCTGTTCTGTGCTTCTTCCCAATGTGCATTTAGATAACAGCACCCTACTAATATCTTGTAAGTTGTTTGTCACAGTTATGCTTCAACCTGTAGCTACCTAAATTCTAATGTCTACTCCACAGTATAAAAATACCACAATGTGAAGCAACATAGACCAACCTAGTAAGTTTGCAACTTCAA